AATGTAACTGTAATGTCTTTACTCACATTTTTGTATTTTATAACAATTATCTTGCCTTAAAGGTGGGGTAGGTAATTTTGAGAAACCGGCTCGAGATACACTTTTTGTTATATTCCATGGAATGCTCTTAACATCCCGATAGCAATGAATATCTGAAGTGCTTTGACAAAAAAATCATCTGTGGAAGCCGTGGCGCTGTAAAAAACACGACCAATCATCTGAGCCGGCCCGGCTAAATTAACTGGATGGCCTACCTGCCTGTCAGCCTTCCATCTGTGCACAAACTGATCTCGTGCCCTCATTGGTCATGTGCGCGTTCGTGTGTGTTGGAGGAGGGGCTCTGTGAGGAAGTGGCAGATTTGTTCCGGTCGTGTATTTTCAAATTTTAGCGCACTCGAGCTGGTTTCGCCAAAATTACCTACCCCACCTTTAATATAAATATTCAATTTTTCCAAACTTATTTGAAGGTCACCTATCATGCTATTTTTAGGCAATAGCATAGGTCTCAGATATATAACAAATATATAAAAAACATGTCTATGAAATGTTTTGCTCAAAATACCAAACAGATCACCCATTCTAGCCATGCCTCATATCCCTCTATTTCACCTCCTGTTTCAAAAGTGCTGATTTGGGTATAAAGCTTAAAAAAAAGAAAGAAGGAGAGGTCTGAGCTCATGCGGGACCCGGCAGCTACTGTCTAAACTAAATGCTGCCGTGATGAAACGCCATATCATGGATTATCAAGGATTCTCTCTGAAACAGTATGGAGCTCAAAGGCTTTCTCTCTTGCCGGTTATACCACAAGGTGAGTTCCTTTTTACTTCCTGCTTCTTCACACACATGCTCTCCAGTACAGGTTAGCTCTGAGTGTTAGCGATGCTAATGTAAACACCGACCATATTACGTCCAAAACAGTCGGGCATTGTTTCTGATAGCAACTTTCTGATAGGGCCGTGGGTCCACATTTCAGATATTACGTCATATCGGACGCAAATCTGGATCAGCTCCGTTGTAGCCCCGTTTTTAGAGATTTGGGTACGGAGGAAAAGAGAGAGGGTTTTATTTTCTGACGCTGCGTGAGTTCCCTGACGCACCGGGGACACATAGTTATGTATAGAAGACATCAAAAAGTGTATTTTGCATGATAGGTCCCCTTTGACTTATTTAATCTTTTCTGTGGGTATTTACTTTAGGTAAATATTAATGTATTTGTATTGCTTTTTTAACTTACTGTTTACATGAATATTATATTTATTTTCTTGTATTTTACATTTTTACTTAACTCATGTTTGTATAAATCATTTTGTTCTCTTTTATTTGATCTTTTATTGAACATTTCACTTCACATATTTTACCGGTATACCCAGGGAGAGTTAAAGTGATTCTGATGATTGTTAGCTTGATGTTTTTGAAATGATTTTAAACAGGAAGGCAGAAGTTTCCATAAATAACAGGCTGAAAACATTTAATTTCATGACATTCTTTCCACAATTTAAACGGTCAATTCAGTTTTAAAAAGCAGGTTGAAATGTTGCAATTATACAACTTATTTTATCTTGTATACAACCTTGTTGATTTCCTTGTTGCTGCATCACTGTTAATTATTCTCAAAGTCCAGAGATAATACCTTTTACTTTTGTTTTATAACCGGGAACCATCGCAACTATCAAACCATCTGCATGTCAGAGATCCACTGAGTCAGAGATCTACAGTCCGAGGCCCCGGGGCAGGCTGCTCACAGACTGCAGTTACATCATCTGGAGCGCTGAGAGACGGGCAGGTGGGCTGACAGTATTACATCACACCTGAAACTGAAGATTCACGAGGCTTCAGACACCTGTGAAGAAATGGAGCTAAACATATTGAAACAGTGTTGGTAGGAAAGGGAACATTTGTAAATTGTCTTGAGACCATTTTTTGAGAATAACTGTATTTTGTGCCATAAAATCTGATGTGTTGCTGTTTTAAAGAAGCCCTATTATGCTTTTTTGGGGTGTTCCCTTTACTGTAGTGTTTTAGTGCATGTCAATGGTCGACAAAGGCTTACATCCCTGTGTTCCCTCCAAAGGGAGTTTCTCATCTAAAGTCAAAATCTAATTTATTTGCAGCATTCTTGTTTTTTGAGATCGTTACTTCATGATTCATTGCTGTGTTTCGGATAAAATCCTGGCACTTTCCTAAGAGATATTTTTAGCATGAGTAATCTCCAGACTTTGTGAAATAAGAACAAGATTAAAACAACGAAAAATAAGTTATTATTTTTAAAAAGAAAGGTGGTTTAGTTGAGGATGTTTGATCAGGTGCAAGACTCAAAGCATTATTATGTTTTTGAGAGAGACAGTTGATTTATGGGGATGACAGAAGAGAGGTAATTTAGAAGTGTGTGATGAGAGGGTAGAGACAGCATGAGTAACTCCCACATGTTCAGACCGCAGGTGGAGAGGAGGGGCAATACAATACAGACACTAGTACATACTGATATACACCTGAACATCAGCAGGAGAGGACTCTTTAAAGTAGACACTACATACTGATATACACCTGAACATCAGCAGGAGAGGACTCTTTAAAGTAGAGACACTACATACTGATATACACCTGAACATCAGCAGGAGAGGACTCTTTAAAGTATTGACACTACATACTGATATACACCTGAACATCAGCAGGAGAGGACTCTTTAAAGTAGAGACACTACATACTGATATACACCTGAACATCAACAGGAGAGGACTCTTTAAAGTAGAGACACTACATACACCTGAACATCAGCAGGAGAGGACTCTTTAAAGTAGAGACACTACATACTGATATACACCTGAACATCAGCAGGAGAGAACTCTTTAAAGTAGAGACACTACTGATATACACCTGAACATCAGCAGGAGAGGACTCTTTAAAGTAGAGACACTACATACTGATATACACCTGAACATCAGCAGGAGGACTCTTTAAAGTAGAGACACTACATACTGATATACACCTGAACATCAGCAGGAGAGGACTCTTTAAAGTAGAGACACTACATACTGATATACACCTGAACATCAGCAGGAGAGGACTCTTTAAAGTAGAGACACTACATACTGATATACACCTGAACATCAGCAGGAGAGGAATCTTTAAAGTAGAGACACTACATACTGATATACACCTGAACATCAGCAGGAGAGGACTCTTTAAAGTAGAGACACTACATACTGATATACACCTGAACATCAGCAGGAGAGGACTCTTTAAAGTAGAGACACTACATACTGATATACACCTGAACATCAGCAGGAGGACTCTTTAAAGTAGAGACACTACATACTGATATACACCTGAACATCAGCAGGAGAGGACTCTTTAAAGTAGAGACACTACATACTGATATACACCTGAACATCAGCAGGAGGACTCTTTAAAGTAGAGACACTACATACTGATATACACCTGAACATCAGCAGGAGAGGACTCTTTAAAGTAGAGACACTACATACTGATATACACCTGAACATCAGCAGGAGAGGACTCTTTAAAGTAGAGACACTACATACTGATATACACCTGAACATCAGCAGGAGAGGACTCTTTAAAGTAGAGACACTACATACTGATATACACCTGAACATCAGCAGGAGAGGACTCTTTAAAGTAGAGACACTACATACTGATATACACCTGAACATCAGCAGGAGGACTCTTTAAAGTAGAGACACTACATACTGATATACACCTGAACATCAGCAGGAAAGGACTCTTTAAAGTAGAGACACTACATACTGATATACACCTGAACATCAGCAGGAGAGGACTCTTTAAAGTAGAGATACTACATACTGATATACACCTGAACATCAGCAGGAGAGGACTCTTTAAAGTAGAGACACTACATACTGATATACACCTGAACATCAGCAGGAGAGGACTCTTTAAAGTAGAGACACTACATACTGATATACACCTGAACATCAGCAGGAGAGGACTCTTTAAAGTAGAGACACTACATACTGATATACACCTGAACATCAGCAGGAGGACTCTTTAAAGTAGAGACACTACATACTGATATACACCTGAACATCAGTAGGAGAGGACTCTTTAAAGTAGAGACACTACATACTGATATACACCTGAACATCAGCAGGAGAGGACTGTTTAAAGTAGAGACACTACATACTGATATACACCTGAACATCAGCAGGAGAGGACTCTTTAAAGTAGAGACACTACATACTGATATACACCTGAACATCAGCAGGAGAGGACTCTTTAAAGTAGAGACACTACATACTGATATACACCTGAACATCAGCAGGAGGACTCTTTAAAGTAGAGACACTACATACTGATATACACCTGAACATCAGTAGGAGAGGACTCTTTAAAGTAGAGACACTACATACTGATATACACCTGAACATCAGCAGGAGAGGACTGTTTAAAGTAGAGACACTACATACTGATACTCCTAAACAGTGCCAAAAAAGCAATACAGGGAAAGTACATAACTATTATATTGCATCAGTGTCATTAGGGACCAATAAAGCTAAAATCTTGTGTATTTTTTTTAACCAGAGACAAAAACAAAATTCAAATCCATAACGTTTTCTGACTTCTTTATTACTTCCCTTGGTCATGTTTCCGGTACGAGTTAATTGAGTAATAAACTAAATATTTGCAATTCCTATTTGACTTAAAGTTCTACAGTCAGGACCCAGAAACACACACACACACACACACACACACACACACACACACACACACACACACACACACACACACACACACACACACACACACACACACACACACACACACCACACACACACACACACACACACACACACACACACACACACACACACACACACACACACACACACACACACACACACACACACACACACACACACACACACACACACACTTGTTTTCCCTCTCACATTATTAGGCATAATGGTGTAAAATGACCATGTGTGGCTTTGCGATGTTAGAGAAACGTCACCCCCGTGTGGACAAAAGCAGAAACTACAGGTAACACTGCCACAACCTCATTCAGTATCGTCAGCTTTTTTAACTTAAATCCTCTCCACCACTAAAACTAGAAACTGTTCATCCCTAATGTTGTAAATATACAGTTTACATTTTCCACTCTATTAGACAGTTACAGCAACAACCGGCTCTTGTAATGAGGAGCCGTCACATTATTGAGAATAAAATGGAGCGTGGCATGAACTAAAGGGTTAGAAAGGAAGCACACACCCATCTCTAGACAAAAAAATAAGAGACAAAGACTGAAGCGATAAAGCACAGCTGAAGCGGAGTTTCAGGGATGGGTGTGAGCAGATGGTTCTGCCATTGTGGCGAGAAGTTTGTTTATTGGCTTTTGCTAATCTGGCTCAAAATGGCAGCCAAAATAATTCACCATGTTGCAGGTGAATGGGAGATCAGAGGTTCATTTCCCGATGATCTTGCTGACGAATGACTCGAGTTCATCGTCGTCTTTGATCCCAACGAAGTGATCGATGACGTCCCCGCCCCGGATGGCGATTACTGTCGGGACGGCAGACACCTGGACACCAAAGACCAAGGAGGGTGTTAGAAGAACAAAATGGATACATGATAACAACATGTGGGATGAATTCCCTTGTATCTGGGGGAGATCAAAACAAATACACGTGTGGTGTCGTGATAAAGAAATGCATGACACTGTTTTTGCCTCCACTTGTAAATGCTCCTTATTGTGTTCTGTGTATATGTGACACTGTACTGTTCTTGAAACTCCTATATCACTAAATAAAATAAATAAATAAATGCATGACAAACTTGGAGGAGAAATCAGAGGTTTTTAACTTTATTTTAACATGATTTCTGAAATATTGGCATGAAGTCTGACCGTTTTCAGACATTTAACTGAAGCACCGACAAAACTATGGCGATAGTATTCATGCTGTGATTGCCCTCCGTATAACGTGTGCTAAAAATGCTCATATGGTAGTGTTGATAGTGTGATTGCCCTCCGTATAATGTGTACTACATATGGTAGTATTCATACCGTGATCACCCTCTGTATAATGTGTGCCAATAAAGCTCATATGGTAGTATTCATATAGTGATTGCCCTCTGTATAATGAGTGCTACATATACACGTATGGTAGTATTCATATAGTGATTGCCCTCTGTATAATGAGTGCTACATATACTCGTATGGTAGTATTCATACTGTGATTACCCTCCGTATAACGTGTGCTAAAAATACTCGTATGGTAGTATTCATACCGTGATTGCCCTCCGTATAATGTGTGCTAAATATACTCGTATGGTAGTATTCATACCGTGATTAACCTCCGTATAATGTGTTCTACATATACTCGTATTCATACAGTGATTGCCCTCAGTATAATGAGTGCTACATATACTCGTATGGTAGTATTCATTCTGTGATTGCCGTCTGTATAATGAGTGCTACATATACTCGTATGGTAGTATTCATACTGTGATTGCCCTCCGTATAATGTGTTCTACATATACTCGTATGGTAGTATTCATTCTGTGATTGCCCTCCGTATAATGTGTGCTAAATATACTCGTATGGTAGTATTCATACCGTGATTAACCTCCGTATAATGTGTTCTACATATACTCGTATTCATACAGTGATTGCCCTCCGTATAATATGTGCTACATATACTCGTATGGTAGTATTCATTCTGTGATTGCCCTCCGTATAATGTGTGCTAAATATACTCGTATGGTAGTATTCATACAGTGATTGCCCTCCGTATAATATGTGCTACATATACTCGTATGGTAGTATTCATTCTGTGATTGCCCTCCGTATAATGTGTGCTAAATATACTCGTATGGTAGTATTCATTCTGTGATTGCCCTCCGTATAACGTGTGCTAAAAATGCTCATATGGTAGTATTCATACAGTGATTGCCCTCTGTATAATATGTGCTACATATACTTATGTAATAGTATTCATACAGTGATTGCCCTCCGTAAAATATGTGCTACATATACTCGTATGGTAGTATTCATACTGTGATTGCCCTCTGTATGAATACTATTACATAAGTATATGTAGCACATATTATAATGTGTGCTGCATATACTTGTATCATAGTATTCATACTGTGATTGCCCTCTGTATAATGTGTGCTAGAAATGCTTGTATGGTAGTATTCATTCTGTGATTGCCCTCTGTATAATGTGTGCGAGTCTCACCCCGTATTCGATAGCCAGGTCTGTGTGATCGTCTATGTCGACTTTAGCCATGGTGACTTTGCCGTTCTGTTTCGCCACGGCTTTCTCCAGCCTCGGGCCGAGGATCTTACAGGGACCACACCACCTGAAACACACGGAACAAGAGGTCAAGAGGTCATCTTTAAAGAGACAGAGTGGGTTATTATTGAACATGGGGTCATGTGATTGGTTAATCTTCCAAACTACTGGACCCATCAGCCTAATATTTTGCATTGATTCATAACAGCGATTTGATTGATTATTTTAAACCAGGGGTGCCCAACCTTTTTTGAACCGAGAGCTACTTTTAAAGTTGCCAGTCTGCCGAGATCTACCAGTCCAAATAGAGAGGCGTAGCCATTACTGACAGCCTACTACCAGGTAAATACACACTTCTACTTGTATAAAACTGACCTTTGTACGATGAATACTTCATAAAATACTGCAGATCCTTTATCTTACCTCTTTCTAATCTACACACATACAAGTATTCAACTGAAGTTACAAAACAGTGTTGTTGATACAGAGTTGGAGTTTATTCACACGTCACTACAGTGGGTAATGTTTTCAAGAAACATTGAACAGTGCTGCCACATATGACACAGGGAAAAAAGAAAAGACTCTGAACCCTTTCTTTGCCATTATATAAAAATAGTGTTGCTACAAAAGTATAAATTAGGCTTACTAATAAGACAACTCAGATCTGAAGCTACACAGGAATCTGCTGCAACAATGCAATACAAAAGACAAAATTAATAGAATCAAACCCTTTTTTATGCATTTTATTAGAGTATAAAAATAAATGCCTTTAAAAAATAGGATGCAAGCAACACTAGTTTCTGAACCTGAATTGATAATAGACTATAATCAATTTAAACAGAACAGATCTTAATGTTTGCATTCTTATACTATTTTGTACAATAATTATAATGAATAAGTTCAAACAAACTAAAACTTACAGCTGATTAATAACGGTATCTAACTTGAGTTTTTATTATATCAAAAACCTGTTGAAATGCTTCTGTTATTTTTACTGTCCCCCAAAAGCGCGTCGCAGCCTCCAGGAATGCTTCTTACACAATTTCGCCGTCTTTGAAAGACTTCATGTGTTACGCAAGAACGTGACTGACACGATAAGATGCTCTGGTAGCAGCCTTGCTCTTGTTGTTGGGCCTGGTGAAAATGGACTGCTGTGCATTTAGCTGTCCTCTCAGGCCCCTCCCCTTTTGGAGCGTAGGGCAGAATTAGGAGGGAATTCCGTCTCGTAGCGTTTGTGCACTGTTTTGAAATGCCGCTCCTAAATTACCCTTCTTCGATAAAGCCACGCTCGCATTGCAGATGAGACAGATGGACTTTGAATTGGAATAGATACAAAAATAATTATCCTCCCACTCGGAGTGAAAATTATATATTTTGGGCTTTTTTGCTTCTGCCATAATTGCGGTCTTGTGTGTGTGCGGACTGGCACTCCTGTTGACACGGACAACGTCAGCGAAATACTGCCCACCAGCCACGCCCCGACACATGCGGTCACGCCGGCCAATCACAAAGCTTTGATGCGTTCATGTGCATTATTCTGGCACAGGAAGATTATGTTACAGGACATTAACGATACAACAGAATGTTGTTGTTCTATTTTTAGACACATCTCGCGATTGACTGGAAATCTCCCCGCGGTCGACCGGTCGATCGCGATCGACTGGTTGGGCAACCCTGTTTTAAACCATCACTGAGATCTTAATCCTCTTAACCGACCAGTAGGAGCTGCTTGGGTATGAAATAGTGTTTGTTATAAGGATTGGTTGGACACCTGTCACATGTCATCAAGCAACATAATTTTAATAATTACATTTTAAGCATATATTCTTGTTATTATCTGACCTCAGGGGCGGACTGGGACTACAAATCAGCCCGGGACTCTCGACCGGCCCACTTCGGTACCGCCGCCCCACCTCAGTACCGCTAGTAAATTGTCAACGGGGGGGGGGGGGGGGTGCTAGTGACTTCTCCCACCGGCCCACATCGTCCGATGGCCAGTCCGCCCCTGTCTGACCTTGGTATTTGACTGTATGGATTCTTATTGCATGCTTCTTCACATAATTGCCGTTTATACACACACACACACACACACACACACACACACACACACACACACACACACACACACACACACACACACACACACACACACACACACACACACACACACACACACACACACACACACACACACACACACACACACACACACACACACACACACACACACACACACACACACACACACACACACACACACACACACACACACACACACACACACACACACACACACACACACACACGAGAGTTTTTCAGTCTGTGGCTACACGTATGGTTTTATTGTACCTGTGTACTCTCATGTTCCGATTAACCCAGCTTCCCCCAAATTTCCTTTTTGTGTCCATATATACGCCGGGATCCTGAGTCGTGGCTGATCATGTTGCTGTGGTCGTGCGTCCTGGATCCTCTATCCTGAGTCCTGATCTGAGTCCTGGACTTCGAGTCGTGGCTGAACCTGTCTGCGGTCCTGCCTGACTCATCATACTACTTCCCTGATGGCTCCCACAGGATTGCTGACATGCTCGTGGATTCATCTTCCTATTATAGACACATGCATTTCCAAACATTTGGTCTACCTATGTTGTAAATGTATTATCTTTTCAATTTACACACGGCATCTATTGCACGTCTGTCCGTCCTGGGAGAGGGATCCCTCCTCTGTTGCTCTCCCTGAGGTTTCTCCCATTTTTCCCTTTAAACTGTGGGTTTTCTCCGGAAGCTTTTACTTGTACGATGTGAAGGTCTAAGGACAGAGGGTGTCTGTATTGTCATACTGATATTTTGTACAAACTGTAAAGTCCACTGAGACAAATGTAACATTTGTGATATTAGGCTATATAAATAAACATTTTGACGGACAGGATCGTAAAACTTCCGTCAAAATCCAGAATTACCCGTCGGCCTTTACACAACTCTGACGAGGGGGGGGGGGGGAAGCATGCTCGTGAACTGTCAACGGGGGGAGGGGAGGGACAGTTCACATGCGCCGTGTTATGCATGGCTGCTGCACCTCGCGGGAGCGTGCACAGCGTAAAGCCAAAACTCACAGATACAATGATTTGTACGGCACAGTTAGGTTTGGAAACGGTATCATTTCCTTTTTGGAGGGCAGGCATAACACGGGAGCCTCGCTGCGGGGAAACTTTGGCGCTGTTCCGAGTTTGTTCTAATCTGTCAAAATGACGGACTGCTTTCAGATTTGTCCGTCATTGTTAAAAAAAATCCGTCATAGACGGAAAATATTCGGTTAACGCGACCTCTGATCTAAATGTTTTCATGCTGCTTTTTATATATGTATTGATGTATGTATTGACTTTGGTCAACTCTGTCATTTTGAAATGTGCTATATAAATAAAGTTGGATTGGATTGAACGGTGTTTCTCCCATTTGTCCCGGACATTGAAATCTTCCCTGACAGAAACGTTGTAGTACCACCACGTAGTCAGACCCCCGCCCCCCTCAGTACTCACTGTGCGTGGAAGTCCACCAGCACTGGCAGCTCGCTCTTGATGACCCGGACGTCGAAGTCGTCGTGGTCCTGGATGTTGAAGGAGGCGGCCTGGCGGAGGGAGGCGAGGGCGAGGGAGCGGGAGCGGGAGCGAGAGAGGACGGGGACTCTGGAAGACTGCAGGGAGGTAGAGAAGGAAGAGGAGACCGGGAGGCAGCGGAGATCTTTGGAGGAGAGCGTCCAAAACCTACGCACCAGCAGCCTGTGAGCCATCTGAGGGGAAGAGGGACAACAAGAGAAGAAGAAAAATGGAGATGAATTAAAGTATGCACACGTTATAAATCATAAAAAACAAATAGCAGATTGACACTTGTTGAGGGAAAAGCAGCTCTGGTTGCATAAGATGGTGTGTCTGTGTGTGTGTGTGTGTGTGTGTGTGTGTGTGTGTGTGTGCCTGTTTGTGTGTGTGTGTTAGGGGTTTCACAACTACCAATTACTAGTCGACACGTTTTTCAAAATAGCAGTCGACTAGTCGACTAGTCGTTACGTCATAATAAAGACACACAAAGAGAGGTGTACAACTGTATTTTATATCGGAACTCATACAGTTACATTAAACACTGCATTTTAAATTTGTGTTACATGGCTGAGTAAATAACAAACAGTAACTGGACTTAGTAAATAACAAACAGTAACTGGACTCACCAAAATCGACAGCAAAAAACTCTGTTTACTGAAATGCCACGTAAATCCAGTGCGCAACAGCGCATTGCGCAACACTTTACTCGCTGTCCTCCACGATAACGTCCACCTTTCCAGATTTTTGGTTTGCGTTGAGGAACACCAACGCATCGACATGTGAGGGAAGGAGGCTTGACCGCTTTCAGGTGACAGTGTTGCCTGCCAGGGAAAAAACCCTCTCACTCGGGGTGCCTGTGGCTGGAATAGCCAGGTAGCTCCTCGAAAGCTTGGCTAAACGGGGGACGCGGTGCGCGTTTTCTGCCCACCACTCCAGTGGGTTATCCATTGTGGGGATATGCAGTGTCCGCTGGCAGTAAACCCTAGCTCAGTGATCACCAACTGGCGGCCCGCGGGCCACATCCGGCCCGCCAGACATTCTCATCCGGCCCGCACGGCGGGGGTGACTGTGGCGTTGGCGGAGTGGTTAGTGCGTTCGCCTCCCACCCATTTTTTTTTTTTTACAACGTCTCGTGAGTAAGGTACAGTACCGGAATCCAACAGAGAGGCAGCAGCTGCGGGTCAGTAGACTGCGTACTGCGAAACCTTCCCTGCCTTGAACAAGAATTGATCCTTCGTTGTGAAGAGTCTGGTTAATGCGGTCCGCACCACAGCAGTAGCGCCGCTGCGACAGAGTCCAACAGATGCGGCTTTCACACCAGCGCTTATCCCTTTCTAGCTCCGAGCTAGAGCTTTTCTGGTTCAGCTCCGGTTTCCCTTTTCTGCTCCCGCTCTGTTCACACCGCCCAGAGCCCGACTGGGTGCTGCCGCTGCTGCGTCATGACGTCACCGTTTACATCGCTGATTTGCTCCCCAACGGCGTTACGGCGCTCACAACAACAACAACAACTGCGTCGGGTCGATGATCGTGTTGCTTTTAATCACACGAAGCCAGAATAAATTAAATAACGACTTCTCCAACCTTATACTTTGCTCCAGAGTGCCGTGGTTCATTGTTTATTAATGTGTTTCTGCAGCATTTACCGACCGCTGCAGTGTTGGCTGCTCTTCCACGGGAGTTTCTTCTCCCGGTAGCTCCCGGTTAGCTCACACTGCAGCGGCCGCTCTAAAGTATTCACTGTCCGACTCACACAAGCAGCTGATACATATCCCCAGTTCCCCTTAGCCGGTGTGTCCACACAGCAGCTTTGACCAAATCTTGAAAATCCTGGAGCTGGGCGTGTCTGACAGCTTGGGGATTTCGCGACCAACAACCAATCACATGAATATCACATGAATATCCCGCCCCCGACATACAAAGCAAAAAAACCCGGTTCTTCTACACTATTGTCAAATAGGAAGGGCTATGATGAACATTTATTTTTTTAACATTTTGAACATTTATGAGATTAATGTTTATGGTGCTATTTTATGCTACATTCCATGCTGGCTAATGATACTGTCTATGCTTGCTAGCAACGAAGTAAACTAGCAACGAAGTAAACTGGATATAAAATCCCCAAACAAGCGAAAACCTACCAGTTTCACCCACTGCCTCTGCCACCTCCCTCCATGCCTGGTTCCTCCGGTTTGTATCTCGGTAAGTAAATAGGGACTGGTCATAAAGAACCGGGTGATTTGCTACCGCAATAACTAAGTTCTCCTCCATTTTTGTGGAATATAGAAATGAACTGCGGGTCTGGTTCTCCCAGCTTGCACGCGGTTTGATTGGCTAGCGCTTGAACTGTCAGATTTGCATAAACGGATCTGATTGGCTGTCGCTTCCAGCTCAGCCTCAAAAGTTCAACAATGTTCAACTTTGGAATCCTGAACATCCTGGAAATCCTGGAAATCTTCGCCTCGCCCCCCCACAATGCAATTCGGCGACAAGCGAGGGAAAGTGACGTCATCCCCATTCAAAGTCAATGGGCGGAGACGCGCTGGAAGCGATGGACAAATCGCCAAAAGCTGCTGTGTGGACAGGCCGTTAGTGAATGTGTGTCAGTCTGAATTGACGCTGTTTGGCATCACAACGCTGTTATGAAAGTTTCTCTGGTATAAAATGGGTGATGTTAGCATAGCAACCGAAGCTAAACTGACTACTTGCTATTGCTATTCTATTGTGGCATAAACCGTTTTCTACAGGCACATTTTACCGGCGTATTTTTATTATGATTCTACTTGTGATAGTCGGACACGACAACCTGTGCAGCCCATGTATTGATTCCATCCGATAGCTGCTACAATACAAAACAAAACGTCTGCCTCTCTCCACAATGATCAATAACAGTGAACGGATGGTCAAAGTAAGGTACAAATAAACAGAATCACACGAAGCCTGTAAGTGTTGCCTGACTTTATAAAGTGTGTTTATAAGCACTACTGCTTGTAGGCAGGCATGACAGTCGACCCATGTTTAGTTTCCTGCACGCCTCGACGTAAGAGAGACGTAAGCGACGCCACCTCTTAGCTCCAAAGCTCTTGCCTCTAGACCGACAATTTTTTGGAGCTGGAAGTGAACCGGATTCCGGAGCTAAGAGGCGGCGCCGCTGCGGTGTGAACAGGAAAAACCGGCGCTTTTCAGGCTCCAGCTCCGAGCCGGAGCTGAAAAAGCGCTGGTGTGAAAGGGGCAACAGAGAGGCAGGAGCTGCGGGACAGTAGCCTAGAAGCAGGGTTGGGTTGTAACGGAATACATGTAACGGCGTTACGTAATCAGAATACAAAAATCAAGTAGGCTAACTGTATTCAGCTGGCGTTACATTTGAAAAACGAGTAATCTGATTACAGTTACTTTCGTAAACCTGAAGTGAATACATTTTGGAATACCTATTGGAATTATTGGTGGAAAAGTTTCCTCACAAAATGTAATATTCATTACCGGCAGAACTGTGCGCACACTGCACAGCGCTGTAGCGTGTCTGTGAGCGAGAGAGAGATGCAGTGTCTGAGGCCCTGCCCCCGCACGCAGATGAGAGAGAGATCTCTTTTAAAATATATTGAAAGTTAGAAACGGAGAAGGTTCGATAAAATGTGCAAGATAACGTTTATGTAGCATTTCTTTATTGTCGAGATGATGACTTTTATAACGGGATCAAATCAAAGTGAATGGCCTGCTGCTGCTGAATGCCTGGGGCAAGTGACTGGAAACAGTTTTAAAAGTTATTACATCGTTTCAGATAATAAATAATAATGATAACATTACATTGCTTTTAGCTGACGCTTTTATCCAAAGCGACTTACAATAAGTACATTCGACCAGGAAGACACAACCTTGAAGAAAACAGAATCATATAAGTACATCAGGTTTCATAGAGCCAAACATTTCAAGTGCTACTCAACTGGCTTTAGATAAGCCAGCCCTTTATTAGTATAAAAGTGCTTCGTTAATAGTTCTAACGCTCGAAGTGGAGTCGAAAGAGATGAGTTTTCAGTTTGCGCCGGAAGATGTGTAAGCTATCTGCTGTCCTGATGTCAATGGGGAGCTCATTCCACCATCCTGGAGCCAGGACAGCAAACCCACGTGTTTTCGCCGATGGGAACTTGGGTCCCCCTCGCAGCGAGGGCGCAACGAGTCGTTTGGCTGATGCAGAGCGTAGTGCACGCGCTGGGGTGTACAGTTTAACCATGTCCTGGATGTAGGAAGGGCCAGATCCATTCGCAGCATGGTAAGCAAGTACCAGTGTCTTGAAGTGGATTCTAGCAGTTACCGGAAGCCAGTGAAGGGAGCGGAGGAGCGGAGTGGTGTGGGAAAATGTAGGAAGGTTGAAGACCAGACGAGCCGCTGCATTCTGGATGAGCTGCAGAGGTCGGATGGCACATTCATTCTATTTAGGGGCACCTTTCAAAGCACCCAAGGACACCTTACAATTCATAATATTCCAAGGAAAGGTGTTAATGCAGTACAAAGAATGCAGTCTGGGTGATGTTTTTTATGTGGGGTGCAGATGAGAGAGCTGTCCAGAATGACATCAAGATGTTGTGTTTGTGCTCTTGATAAGCCATTAAAACAGTAAAATAAGTGTCTCCTGTTCACCAAAAACATACCCATCTGTTATGGAAAGTATTCTAAAAGTAATCTGAATACATTTTTAAGACACGTAACTGTAACTGTATTCTGATTACTTTCAGAGCATGTATTCAGTAACTGATTACATTTACAAAGTAACCCTCCCAACCCTGCCTAGAAGTGATCCTTCGTTAGCGTGAAGAGTCTGCTAAGCTTTATGCGGTCCACAGTACCTGAGCGTTCTCCACTAGCACCCCCCCCCCCACTTCAAAATGCTGGGCTATATAAAAATCGCTGCCCCGCGATAGTGTCTGTTGGATACATTTTGGCTGCTAGTGCTAGCTGTCGGCAGCGGGTGTCTCATCTTCAGATGGTTGCGCATAGCAGATGTATTTTTGTTGTACTTCAGTACAGCTGTACACAACTGACACTTCACTGTGGAGTTGGTTACATCTTTGTTGAAGTACTGCCATACATAAGAATGTCGGACGTGTTTTGAAGCATTTTGCAGCACCTCGTTTACCTCCATTTTTTCACGACTAGTCGACTAGGGCCTACAGCGCCGACTAGTGGTAAAGGTAGTCGACTAGTCAATTAGTTGGTGAAACCCCTAGTGTGTGTGTCTGTTTGTGTGTGTCTGTCTGTGTCTCAGTCTGTGTGTGTGTGTCAGCATGTTTACAGCTTCCTACATGCAGGGCGTAGTGTGTGTGGGTTTCTCAGGTGTGATTGATGTGTGTTTACCTGAAGCACAGACAGGCTTTGACTAGATTCTCTTGTATGAATATAATGTCATGGTAAGCACTACAGCAACATATCTAACACACAGCTAGATGTACGTGTCTGTGCATATTAGGGCCCCTTTAAGTAAAAGCACAGTAGTATAATCAGGAAAATGTATTCAAAGCATCTAAAGGACTCATTCTGCAGAACAATGGCCTCTATATGAGATATTATTATATGTGACAATGTTTTCATATTGTTGCATTTGACTGTAAATAATCAGAATCACTTTATTAGTCCCACAGCGTTACAGCAAAAGTGGCATAGCAGGTAAAAAAGGCACTTTACCTGAGTATTTCAATGTTATGCTACTCTGTACTTTTACTCCACTACAGTTCAGAGGTAAACTGTGTACTTTTCCTCCACTACATATATTTAATACCTTTAGTTACTTTACAGATGTGGATGAATGATGTGAAATATAATCAAGTGTTAAATCAGACTTTAGTTCCACCTGGAGTAAATCCACAAGCTACCCTGCAGTATACAAAGTCATTCAAACTAGCTGCACCTTTACCAGCTTTGAGAACACTTTCATGATCAATCATTATAAAACATATCATATATATTATTCTGAAATGGACCAATCTGCACAATGACTACTTTTACTGTCGCTACTTTCACTATATTTTGATGATAATACTTTTCTACTTTTACTTGAGGAACATTTTGAATGCAGGACTTTTACTGTAACAG